GAAGACCCTCGAAATTGCTGACCTCCACTAAAGGCTTCTGTTTAGCTTTCTCTGCTGTTTTACAGAATCTCAGTAGATCATCCTCCTGAAGCCCAGACTTCAGAAGAGCTTTTATAGAATGTATATCAGCAGCACTACTCTTTCTGCACTTGCTCTAAGTGTCAGAAAATTATTTGTTTCTGTAACTGCTAGCAGGTTCTGCTTATAAAACTGGATTTCACTGTGGCATGAAGCCACAGATGCAGTGTCTCAGTTCTAGTTGGGAAAAATACCTGGACACAAGAGCCAGAATCAAAGTTGTGATCCTGACCTTTAGAAGAGATGATATTCTGTAAGCTCATTTTACAAATAAAATACTATTTCATTCTGTTGTAAACAGATTGTAGAGTTTCAGACTTTTAATATTTGATTCAATCTTCAGAATATTTTAAAAAATCCATATTAAAATGGTAAATTGCTTTGATCATCTAGGGCATTTAATGAAATAAGGACTTCTTATAGACATTTTACCTCTCAGCACTCTCCTCTTTTTTAAGAAGTCTTTTCTTTATACCTAACATAATTTTATACCTGAAAATACAAATATACCCTCCTGTCCTGCAATCCTTCTAGAGGGATGATGGTTTCATTTTTCATTACCAGGTCATATTTTATACTTAGGAACAAACAAAACCTAGTCTTGGGCAACAGTAAATGCTTCTTCTCTGAATACTTAGAGATTTGTGACAGTATCAAGCTCCTCAGCAAGACCCAGCATCCAGGAGAGCAGACACCACAAGTTGGAGCTCAGAGACCCTTGATGTATCTGTCTCAGTAAGAGTTCTCCCATTAAGGAGTTCAATGGCATTTCAGGGTTATGCATATGTATCATGTTTGCATAACCCTGAAACACCTAGTGCAGTTTACTATACCATTATATTCTTCAGTGTACAGCAGTATATTTCCCCCTTGATCTGTCTCTGCATACTTCTTTTTTTGCCACTGTTATACATTGTCTAAAGCAATGTAACCAATGTTAGAAATCTATGCACTGGGATACATATGCCCTTTAAATCTGGCCTGGCCTTTCCCAATGTTGAAACCATCACTCCTCTCCCTTGTACGTGGAGTGAGAAATGACAGGTCACAGTGTCAGGCAGCACAGAGGCTTTAATTTCCTTACCCTTCATGTGAATATAATTTAAGACCCAACACCCACCTCCAGTGCCTACTCATAAATAGTGATAATATCATGAAGGATAGGGACGACTTCATATTCATACTTGAGAATTCATTTGTATATAAAATAGTCGTTTCATAGTCAGGGATGGTTAAATCCAAGAACATGAGATGCAATTTTCAGAGACACTGAACATTTGCATCACCTGCTGAAATCAATAGGAACAGTAGGAGTTTGGCACCTTTGATCAATAGGACCAGTGATTTGCAAGTCCAAATCAGCTATTGATAAAATGGTGAAGTATCATGGAAGAAAAATCCTACTCACAAATGGGCTAAAAATAACTATTAAATGAGCAGCCACAGCATCCATTGTATTGGGCTTAAAGGAAATAATGTGGTGCTGCATAAAAACAAAAGAAATACTATATGTCTTATTCTAGCTCTTGTATTTGCCTAATTTACTCTTTAATTTTTTGGTAAGACTCTCAGGCAGACCAGCAACTGCTGGTGAAGCTGCTGCAGCCCCTCATGCATTGGTGAGAGGCACCAACGTCCCCTCCGAGGTGTGTCCCAACTGCTCACCTGCCTCACTGCCCACTTTGTGGGCAAATTCAACACCTGTGCCCCAGATTTACATGATTGATATTTCTCAACACTGAGGAAACCAGGAAATTAAAAATAAAAGCATGTAGGATTTAATTCCCTAAGAAAATAATTCAACGCATTTACAATTACACCTCCATCAGTCTGAAGACCAAACATGCACTTTATGAAATAAGGTTTTTTTGGAGTAACTACTTCGACTTTAAAACCTATTCACAAAAAATTACTCCTGTTGAAGTGAAAATATGTGTTCTTGATAAACTGAAGATTTTTAACAAATCTGCTGTTAAACAACCACCAACAGCGTTCTATAATTTCCTTACTGTCCACATAATAGTCAAATTTATTTCAGAAAGGCCAAACAGTAAACACAGTGATTATAGGCCAAAAGAGGATTAATGGAGAAATAGTATTTCTTTTTAACTGAGTAGTAGTTCAAAGGAGACAAAATATAGAAGAATTACATGTTTTTATGTAAAAGCTTTGCTATCGAGTCTTACTGATAAGAGGGAAAGGCTGAAAAATAAAAGAACAAAAACATTTTGCTAGTTTACCTTTTGACTGAAAAGGAATCATAGCTTAGAGCACTCTGGAACAGGTCTCAGTACATTGCAAATACAAGAGCCACTTGTAAGTTTTGATCTGGAATAAGCTTCACATCTCTACAACTTTGGAGATATTCTGACTTGAGGCTGAGACTTGGGCATTTTTTAAAAAGGAATATGCATTAAATGGCAGTGAAAGTCAAGCATTAAATGGCAGTGAAAAAATACTTGAAAAAGAACCTTTAGGTTCTTAGAATAGGAAAATAAAAAGCTTGATGTTAAATTTTGATCAGCACTCAGTTGGCCTGAAATTGTAGTTCATGGTAAATTAATGCCGGCTATGTTAAAAAATACACTGATGAAAACAATTTTGCCTTTTAAAAGTCTCCTTTACTTTTCCAGTAGCAACTGTTGAGCTGATCACAGGTTAAGTTTGATCCTGAAATTAAGTTTTGTTTTAAAATGTGGGCCCATGTCTGTAGTGATTGCTCAGACACAACTTCCTCTGACTTAAAGAAAACCTGATGGAGTGAGGGATCTGAATCATGGTGAACAAAGAGAAAACACTTGGGGGAGTGAATTTTAACTTCAGTGTTACATACAGTCTGAATTTCCATATTCAACTACTCATTTAAAACATGCACATTTAATTTTCTGATGTGAAAAGATATGCAAATATGCAAGCCTACAGAGCCAGTGAACTCTGGAAACAGTTTATATGCTATGATTCAAACCTAGCAAAAGCAAAAGAGCTAAGGTATCTGAGTCATAAGAAGACACCATAAACTTATGTAAATATTTAACCAGCCAGAGATGGGCAGAAGGAATATTCACTTGGAATAAGCTAACTAATGTTACCTGAATCTGCAGGAAAGCTTATGCAACTCAAAAACTTCTGGGGAAAACAAGAGCAAATAATGGCATCCTGAAAATTTTTCTGAATTAGAACTTCTGGTTCAAAAATTTATATTTTTTCCATAGAAAACACTAATAGAAATAGTAATAATTCATAAAATGCTAAGACATCTCCATTTTACCTGCTTCTGCCTAACTAAAGAAAACATGCTACACCCTTGTGTTACCAAGATACGACAGACACATCTACAGGAGAGTCACACAGAACTGTTTAATTCATGGTGACAAGGAGTGCTTCCAGCCTTCTCAGGCTGATGACATATAGCAGTATATCCCTAGAAAGTTACAGAAATTTCAGTGGCAGACTGAAATCTAAACAGGGATGAAAGAGGCAGCGCATCATCCAGATAAAATCTAAATGGTGTGGGCGGGATAAAATGTGTAGCAAACAGATGAGGCTGCAAAAATGATACAGCCAGTCCTAACCGAGGGCATATGCTCACCAGCTGTTATGTAAATCTGCAATTAATGGAGCTTACAAGATCCTCAGGTGCTTTCAAATCATCATGCACCAGAAATGCTCAAATCTGCTTTCCCATATGCATTAGGTGAGGATATTAGCAAAAAATCCCTCCTTATGAGCATCTTGCTGACAATAGCCAAAACTTTGTCACTATGGGGCCAAAGAAAACCTCAGTGGGAAACAAGAAATTATTGAAATTTTAATAATTTTCACTATAGATAGGTTTATTAAGAGAGTATAAAAAATCAGTGGCCATGTATCTGTTTGGAGGTATCTGTACTTGTATCTCTGTCAAGTTTTCCCAGGTATGAACTGCACTCTTTCAGACAAACCTGGAATTATTCCTATTCAAGCTATAGAGCATCAGGAATACTCTGGCTCCTGCCACCTGTGAACTGCCATCTAAAACAACAGTCTAAGAGTGTGTGTGAGACAGCAAAAACTAATTTTATTTCCCTATGTTTACAGAAGCTACAGTCACATTCTTAAATTCCACACACAAAATGTTCTTTAATATTTTAAATTCAGATTGAAAACCCAATGCAATAACTAAAGTTCAGGCTAAATGTTATGTAAGAAATCACAGAAAATTGCTCTCCTGTATGTATGGTTGCAACCACATTGACTTCAAGCCACCTCCAATACACCTGTCCTCCAAAAAAAAACCCCAACAAGCCCCAAACCTGAGGAAGCCCTTTCCAGCTACTCTGATAAACCTGTCCAATGTATTCTGCTAACAAAATGGCAAAGTTGGTACTATGTAACCCATTTTGTAAACATAAATTCAATAAAGGGGTAACAAAATCTTAGACAACGTTATAAAATTATTTTTAGAGCTAGTTGTCATTCTAGCAAATGATATAACAACTAGGAGGAAAATTGTGTAAGATTAAAATGGTGATGACACTTAAGAAATTAATTAAGGGTAGCAAGGCAAAACACAATTAAACATTACTAGTACTTCCCAATAATTCTTTAAGAGCAACAATGTTGTAAGGCATAATATGAAAATCAAATGTTTAAGAAAATATCACAGCAATTAAAATCAGTAGGAGTCCTTGGCTAGTATAAACATGTAATCTTGAATAAAATTCTATTCTCTGTTAGGCAGCATCAAGGTTAACAGAGTAGAAAGTTAATGTGAATACTATGTTCAACCTTTAGCCAATCCAGTGTTTCGTCTGCCAGGATTTAAAAAGCACAAATGGCAAGTATTATTAGTAAAACATGATTTGTGTTAGTGCAAAGCAAGCAAGATGACAGAGCAGAGGAGGTAAAAGAATAATTCAGCAGAGGAAAGGATCAGGGCTTACCAATGACATAGGCGAGCAACAGTGCCAGGGTCACTGTGATAGCAGTGGCACTCAGAGCTGTGCACTTCCAGTTGCAACACCTGTAAGGTTTGTTAAAAGTGAAGGCAGGTCTGGAAAAGGTACTTCTAGGAAGAGGCCTAGGAGGTGGAGAGTAAACAGTATTGGAAGTTAGGGGATAGTTCTGACTGGCTGCGCTGAAGATAGCTGAAGACCCAGATCCATGTTTAAACAGGAAATGCCTACAAAGAGAAGACAAAGAATGATGTTGTAAAACCACCCTGTATGTAAAAAGCAAAAGAAACTATACAGGCACCGTATAGTAAATACTGCATATAGCCACAAAAAATACCAGACAAGACAGGAAAATGTGTATTTGAATACCCTCTGCAAGTTTTTTAAAAACACCACAAGATGTCCGGCAAAGTTTTAGTGAGACAACAAAACATAACGAAATTCTCAGCTAATTTCCCCATGTTTCAGAGTACTGCTGAAGGAAGGTTGATTCTCAGTAGAGTACTGGGATCCTCCAAGATGAGCAGCCCCTGTGTGCCTTTACACAGGTGTGACAGAGACATGGGAACTGTTGCCAGCAATATCCCCTCCATCCACATCTAACTGGTATATTCACCTGGAATACTCCAAAAATGCTAAAGCTAGTGCCGCTGTGAACATATATTTCTTACCATGGAATATAGAAAATTAAAAAAAAAAAGTGACTAGTTACCTGATTTACGAGGATAATCCATTCTGAAGAAATTTAGTTACTATATAGGTGAGCACAATTTATTTACTGTTCTTAATTGAGCTATTTTGAGAGTAGTTTTTCTTCAAATGCTTTTGCCTACTGCCGTGATTCTCAAACACGCTAAGAAAGAATTAATTTGGAGACCTATTTCAGCATACTTTGCAGGACTGATTGCCTTCAAGAAAAAATAGCAAAGACTTACATTAGCACAAAAAATAAGGTACAAAAATGTGCCTTGCAGAATAGGTTCTGGTGCAGTAGTATAGAGTAGTTTTTTATAGGAGGAAGGATGGTTTTTCAGGACTGGCAAGGGCTCTATAAGAGAATTTAGGAAAGGTTATTTAATGTTAATTAATGTGCTCAGAAATTCTGGCAAAGAGGGCTAGTTCAGGGCTGACCATACCAACCACATATTCTTTTGCAAATACAAGCTTTCTTTGATCTTTCTTGCATTTGTTTTATATAACAGAGCAAGCTTCTTCAGTGCCCTCTTTTCTGACAGATGCCCCTCTAAAACTCATGCCACAGCATGCAGCCAAAGGAGTTTGAAGCATCTTGGTGTTCCTTTGTCTCAAGATGAGAAAACAAGTGACATGGTCCAGAATCTTCCCAATGGCAAATGTGCCTTACACCCTCAGCAAGGCACAAGATGAGTTTTCAAATGCATATATGGATTAATCAATCCATGCTGGGAGAATTTCTTTGATGAATACACAGCGGGATGTACACAGGATCAAACACTCCATTGTATGAAACATGGTTATACTGTGACATTTCACTTTAAGAATATTGTAAATATGCGTTCCTGAAACGGTAATTGCTAAAATGGTGTAATGAATATGGTATTATGTATTTCCACTATAAGATTTTAAAAGAAAGGTTACAGTTTTCAAAATGCCAGATTATAGAAAATAAAAAGGTATTACAGAGAAGTTTTATCTTTTAAAGAGCCCTTTAGTTTCATAAAAAAGAAAGCAAGTGAGAATACAGGTTAGCTTGCATAGCAGTTTACAGGAGTAATAACAGGAACGTGTTATCAGGAGTCTTATGAGTAATCCACAAGAATGAAATTTGAGTATTAGTTACTTCTGCTTCATGATTATTACCCAAATGAGCTGCACTCAGACAAAACTTGACATCTGACCCTGACTGAGTACAGCATTCTGGCAGTGCATCAGGCAACACATTCCAGTTTTCCTTCCCACTGACTTCCACAGCTGTAGATGCACACATTAGAAAGATGGCATTGCTCTCCACATTGTAATGTTACCTCTGTTTTAGTTCAAAAATTATAAACTCATATGCAGTAAAACAATAAATTCAAATGAAGTAAAAGAAATGTTTACAGGACTATATAAACCTGCTTCCTTCCTATCAGGCCATGAGAGCACAGCTGGTTATTTTGGATTCAGTGCTTTGTTGTCTCACATGAAAGCTTTTGCAAGTATGGGAAGTTTTTTCTCAGTCAGCAGTTAACGAGATACACAGTCACTTAGATTTTTGGTAGGAGAAAATGTCATGGTAAAATTCCTACTGATATTCATGCAAATAGAAGTAGAATCACCACATAAAATAAGACATGTTATTAGATATAAGCATATACATATGAGAAGTATGTATGTATATATACAAACACACACATATATACACACAAGTATTACAATTATAAGAAGTCAATTGTCCTTTACATGCTTTAATTGTTCAAGACATGATGACAAAAACCTACTTATTTGATAATTTCTCATTTAATTTTTTTGGAAATTAAAGGAAAAGGGTCTGATATCGGCAGTATTGACTGTCCTTTATGGTACATAGCTCAAAGGTATCAGAGGTAAAGGGAAGGAAATGCTGAACAGAAAACTGTTATTATTAAGGCTCTAACAAGCTGCAATCAATAGCCAAAAAAAATTTCATACTCTTGCACAGGAATTTTTAACAGGAGCTTGATGATATAGCACTAGTGTGCAGAGGCACTTCTCTATTAGCAGAAGACCGTACAGAACCTGGATCCAGCTCACTCTCTTTTGGACACATGACTCCATTCACACAGAAGAGAATTTACATTGCTCTAATTTGTAATAAAACTGAGATTCTGAAGCAATGGTACACTGAAACTGGGCAACCAGTGAAATAATGCTGAGAAAATGTTTAAAAAACCCAATTGTTTACAACTTCCATTTTTGGCAGCATGTACTGAGAGCCCAAAGATATTTCTATAGTATTTGAAAAACACTTCTGGCACAAAGACCCACTTCCAAAGCCAGACTGTGACTATGTTCTCATAAACTCAGATGACTCCTCATCTCTCTGAGCACACCACAGTTCCCAAAGGATGTCAGGACATGCTAAACTGTTGCTATCAATTCTATAAAATCAGGCTCTCTTTCTAAAGAGCAAAATAATAAAAGCAGTTCAAAAGTTTAGCTGTGACTGCAGCCTGACGTGTGCTTTAATATTTGATCTTAGAGAAAAGCTAAGGCCTGTGGTGGTGGTGGCTTTTTGGTTTTGTTTTTTTTTTTTTTTTGTAAAAAAAGAGAACACAAGAACACAAGAAAAATCAGAGCATTTATAAGGGTGATTGATACCACCACTCCTTCCAAGTGGAGAAAAACTAAATTTTCACAAAACATCAAAAACATCCATAAAGAAGATGATATTTCTCTTCAAAAGAGAAATATAGGATGTAATTTGTAAGGCACTTGTTGGTGAAATAAAAGTTACTTAATATTATTACACTGATAACTCCCCCACATAAATAAATATTAAAGGCTCAGAAATAACTTTACATATAGAAGAAGCTGTTGGAAAGCATTCCCTCTTGAGGTAACCACAATGTCTGTTTAGCTGTTCATCCATCTGTTCATCCTACAAATGTAGGACTTCTGAACTGTGAAACCTCTCAAGAGAAATTAAAAGAAAAAGATCATATCAGGACCAAAGCCCTCCACACGAGCAAGGAAAACAGCATCAGCCCCAGTGAGGTTCCTCTGCTACACAGAACTCTCTGCCCTCCTGCCCACCCCTGCCCAGCAGAGCACAGCCTGGGCAGTGAAGTGGAAGCACACTCCAGCTGACCAGGAGCCATGTCCCACCTGCCACTGCCACACCCAGCAAAGGGGAAGGGAAGGGATTTACTGGGAAGTTCAGCTGACACAAGGCCTGCAATCAGTCCTCTCAGTCCTGCTGATGGCAGAACCACTTCATTCTGTGGAGAAGCAGTTTCCTGTGGTTCATCCAAGTGCTCTTGTTTAACCTCATGAGGAATGGCAGATAACTCCAAGAGCAGAGTTCATACAAATGATGAATTCTTAGCTAGGAGAAGGTTAGAGAAAAGTTCATTTCTTTACATGCTTCTCCATCAGGATATTTTGTTATGTACTTTTGGCTTCTTATCTGGAACAGCAATTTAAGTTTTATAAAAGTTTGAAGCAACATCCCAATTGAAATCATGTGGCAATAACATAATACTATTACAGAAACCAGATTAACCCCACACAGAATTCTGTAATTAAATTCTGAGAAAATATTTTTATATCCCGATACTGTAGAAATGTCCCTCAACTTTGCCAAGGGCTCGGTATCCCTTCAGTAACTTTCTATGCATTAACTCTGTGCCAAGCATCTTTAGTCCCATACCTTCATTTGCTCCTGTAACAGGCTGTCCTTCCATTTCCATTAAAAATCATGAGTTTGTAAGAAGAAAAAATGAAGAACAACAGAAGACTTGAAAGGGAGCCAACAGCTAAGTCAGAAACACAAATCTTGCTATACCTTGGCCAAAAAATTAGTCTGCATTTCTCCTGGATAAACCAAGTAGGAATGCATTTGTATCTGTATATGTTTCACATTCAAGAAGTAGTTACCTGAAGCATTACAAATTGCTGCAAAACTATGTGACAGAAAAAACTAAGAAGACTTCAGTTCAATCATTTAATTTGCTCAATTTCCTTTCAACTACATTTTATAGCTGCATATAATGTATATAATTGTATATCTATACCGACATTTAAATGAAATAATTCCTTTAGATGTCAACAGAAGTGCAAAAGAAATTTTTAAGAGGCATAGCAGATGAAACTAAGAAGGATTCTGTTTTTTGGCCTAGCCAGAAAATATATAGAGATGGTAGCCAAAAGGGATTTGGAACTGATACAGTTGTCGATCTGCTTTGGCAAACACTGAAAAGAAGACTTTGTTACCTGCCCATTTTAAGTCACTTAATATTTCCTATGACAGTAGTGAGAAGCAGAAATTAGCTCTCTCCCGGTTTTCTATCCATTCTATTCTGTACTCAAAGTGAGAGGGGAAAGAATAGGACACTTCTAAATAATACATTATATATATGTATATGTGTGTATATATATAAAATACATATATTATATATATGCATTATATAATGCAATAATAAATTACATAATAATCAGAATATATTTTTTATAAATCTCCCATATGGCTCTCAACAAACTATACAGTGTAAAAAACCAAGGCAACTAT